TTCACAGTAATAGCCCCCAAATTACCTAACTAAAGCATATGTGTCTGTGTAAGTAATGAATTCAGTTTTTTATGGGTTTTTAAAATCATTTTATTGGGGCCTCGCACAAGTCTTATCACAATCCATACATCCATCCATTGTTTCAAGCACATTTGTACATTTGTTGCCATCATCATTCTCAAAACATGTGCTTTCTGCTTGAGCCCGTGGTATCAGCTCCTCATTTTTTCCCCTCCCTCTCTGTGCCCCCTCCCTAAACTCAGTTCTTTTCTACTTGAGAGATGATTAATTACTGGACATGGTGCTGATTCACTCACATACTCAGTTACCCTATGTTCACAAATTAAGAAACTGGCATGCTTGCAAAATCTATTATTTACTGAATACAATCAAACCAATTTTGTCTAGTTGTCTGGGGACCTGGTGGCACACTAGGTTACAAGTTGGGTTGCTAAACACAAGGTCAGCAGTTCAAGCCCACCAATTGCTCTGCTAGAGAAAAAAACTGAGGCATTCTGCTTTGGTAAAAGACTTGTAGCCCCAGAAACCCAAAAGGGCAGTTCTACTCTGTCTTTTTTTTAAAAATCATTTTATTAGGGGCTCATACAACTCTTATCACAATCCATACATACATAATTGTGTAAAGCACATTTGTACATTCATTGCCCTCCTCGTTCTCAAAACATTTGCTCTCCACTTAAGCCCCCGGCATCAGCTCCTCATTTTTCCCCTCCCTCATGAACCCTTGATAATTTATAAATTATTTTGTCATATCTTGCCCTGTCTGACATCTTGTCATATCTTGCCTTGTCCGACATCTCCCTTCACCCGCTTTTCTTTTGTCTGTCCCCCAGGGAGAAGGTCACATGTAGATCCTTGTAATCGGTTCCCTTTCCAACCTACCCTCCTTCTACCCTCCCAGTATCACCACTCACACCACTGGTCCTGAAGGGATCATCCGCCCTGGATTCCCTGTGTTTCCAGTTCCTATCTGTACCAGTGTACATCCTCTGGTCTAGCCGGATTTGTAAGGCAGAATTGGGATCATTATAGTGGGGGAGGAGGAAGCATTTAGGAACTAGAGGAAAGTTGTATGTTTCATCGTTGCTACATCTACTCTGTCTTACAGGGTCAGAAGTTATCAGTATAAACTTAATGGCAATGGGTGTGGTTTGGGGTTTTTATTCTCAATGCCTACAATCAAAAATATAGAACACACACACACACACACAAAATATATATATATATATAGAACACCAGGTAAGCACATATATAATTTGGGATTGTTACCCCACTGGCCTCAAATCATAGGCACCTAATTATAATCCAGGACCATCTGAAGTTTGAAAAATTTGCATCAGAAGAGAATGTGGGTGTGTAAAACATGGCATAAAAGATTCACGGAAGATCCCCAAAATAAAGCAGACAATTCGATACCCAAGCCATTGTCTGTAATAAGGAAACTTTTCTTAACAACAAAAATCAACAAAAGTCTTTTGCGTTCCTATTGTGCAGTATGCAAATGTAGTGGTTACTCAGTGGGCGGCAATCCACGTGGTTGGCAGTTGGAAACCACCAGCAGCTCCAAGGAGAAAGACTGGGCTTCCGACTCCAGCAAACTGCTGCAATCACAGAATCCCACAAAGGGGTGCAGAGTCAGCATGGACTTGATGGCAGAGAGTTTGGTTTTTTTGGAGAAGGATGCAAAAAGCATTAAAATGTGTCCTGCCCTAAAAGAGTTCACAATTTAGCAGGAGAGGCAGAATATATAATCCTAAAAGATCATAATTCCCATAGCACAGTGCCTAACACATAGATCATCAACTTGCACAGGTGCTCAACAACTATTTTGTGGCTTATGGTTGTAAAGTCAAGACAGTAACCATAATAAATTTAATAGCATTCCATCATTGCAGTTTTTAATTAAATAACCTAAAGTTATTATTTATATCTATGTAGTTCCTTTTAACAGTCTCAAGGGAAGCAAACTATTTTTTCAATTGATCTGTATGGTCCCCACTAATCTGCTTAACGTATGCATATACAATCCACATGGAAGATGACACATACAAAAAGATGAATAAAAGCACTCGGTATCATTTAGAACAACTGTAAAACCATCAAGCTCACTGAGATCAAGTCAATTCTGACTCACAGCAACCCCATAGGGCAGGGTCTAAGTGTCCTTGCAGGTTTCCAAGACTGTAGCTCATCTTTCTCCTGCAAACTGCTGATCTTGTGGCTAGGAGCCCAACATGTAACCCACTATGCCACCACTTACCAAATATTAGACAGAAAAAGGACTGTGGAGCATAAATCATACAAAATGGGGAAAGCCTATATAAGTTTAGTGTGCATTACATGTTGTTACAAAATAGCTTCAACTGCTACCAGCATGGAGCCATTTAGTGTATTACAGAGAAGGGAGAATATATTTCAAATAATCAAATTTGTTGACAAAGTACTTAAATGGTTTTATAGAACTTTCTAGACTATTGTAATTGTAAGATGAAAGATAATAGCATTAGTTTCCATTGAATGCTAGGTTCACATTGAATGATTACACAATTTAAAATAATTTACATCTTAAAGTTGGTGAACCTTCACGCAAACCAAATGTACTTCCAGTTTAAAACTGACCCACATTGAAGAATAATCTAAAATTTCAAAATATGTGCATCCCATATCCTAGAGTTATACTAAACGAACAACTTGGACATACTATCATACAACTTAGCTTGCTCTATCAGTAACTAAGTATTATATTACAATTTTGTGTACCTAAAATTATCATCATTGAATTTTAATCGCTGAAACTATCACATTAAGATAAACTAATTGCACCAGGCTGTGTGATCATGAGGTGTCGATGGGATCGGGTATCAGGCATCTATGACCCAGAACAAAACCATACCCAATGTGAATTGGGGGGAGGCTGGGGGGATGTATGGAGACCTAATGCACATCTGTAGACAACTGGACATCACCTCACAGAGGGGTCACAGGGAAGAGATGAGCCAGTCAGGGTGCAGTATGGCACTGATGAAACACACAACTTTCCTCTGGTTCTTTGATGCTTCCTTCCCCCCCACTATCATGACGTCAATTCTACCTTACAAACCGGATTAGACCAGAACATGCACACTGCTAAAAAGATAAAGAGCGCCAAGCACTGGGAATCCAGGATAGATAAACCCCTCAGGGTCAACAATGAGAGTAGAGATACCAGGAGGACTGGGGGAGGGTGGAAGGAGAAAGGGAGAATCGATCACAGGATCAACCTAAAACCCCCTCCCAGGGGGATGAATAACAGAAAAGTGGGTGAGGAGTGACAGAGGATGATGTAAGATATGAAAATAATAGTCTATAAGGGTTCATGAGAGCAGGCAGGCGGGGGAGGGAAGGGAAAGAAATGGGGAGCTGATCTCAAGGGCTCAAGTGGAAAGAGAATGCTTTGAAAATGACGATAGTGGCATATGTGCAAATGTGCTTGACACTCTAGATGAATGTATGGGTTATAGTAAGAGATTTAAGAGCCCCCAATAAAAGAAAAAAAATATGCTAATTGATGAAATCGCGAGGTGGACAGGTGGAAGAACCATATGATAAGACAAATAGTAAAAAAAAAAGTAAAATATTAATGATAGAATCTAGCTGGTAGGTATATGATATTTCCTGTAAATTTTTTTTTTAACTTTACTGTGCAAATGACCTTTTTTTTTTCAAATGAATTGGTGGAGGAAAGGGGCTGGGATTGAATACCACTTGATACTTATTTGGCTATGTATAATTTAAACTTTTAGAAAGGGAAATACAATTTAACTGCTATGTGGCATCTAACACAGGTACTGTAGTTGAAACAAGTCTGTATTAAAATCCAAGCTCTATCTCTAACTGTCGGATCTTGAGTATGTTAGTCAACCTCTTATAAGCCTAAATGAGTTTTTGCAATGTCTGGTATATAGTAAGCACTCAAAATGCTAAGATTAATGCCAGGATGAACTTGCTAATTCTATGCTTAACTTAAAAGGTGTTCCTAATAAGGAATACATACCTTTTTTTTTTTCAGTTATTTACTTTAGTGGTTTAGCACCAGTTTGATCATTTTGGGACTTATCCTAAAAACAGATTCCTGATAAACTTACTGCTATTTGAGTGCAAGGGTGAGAGGAATTAAAGAAAAGAATAAAAACAATATTGTTTGTAATTGAATAGTATTGTTCTCTAGCTGGGAAAACCATTCAGAATTAAACATCAAAGTTTCAAGACAAAGTTTAAAGGCACTCAATAACTCATAGGCAGAATTTCACCTCAGCAGGTTGGTTGGGTACGTATTTATGACAAAACTTGTCATACTCTTCCACGTTCCTAATTGCAGCTAAAGAGGCTAGCCTAGAACATTGCATTTTCTGGTTGCACAACTCTTCCCCCTAACTCAGAGCAAGCCAAGGACCCCACTTCACAGGTAAAACCACCACCACCTGTACCTTGGTCTTGATAAGGTTATAGGGGGAGGGGGCGAGGGGAGGACTATGAATTTGCATTAGTCTTACTGAGAACCCTTCTGGCTATTTCTCATGAGACCCCCTCCTTGACTTATTCCCGCCCCACCCCCTTCACTTAGCCTCTCCCCCAGTTAAACTTCCAGACTCTTAATCTACTAAAGATGCACTTAGGAATCTGAGACCTTTTCCGTTCCTGATCCTCATAACCCACCCGAGTACCTGGGGGCGGGAAGGGGGGGGGGGAGCAAACAACAGCCCCCCGCCCCTCCCCCTGAAACGGGAGCAAATCTTTGTCCCACCTGCCCAAGGACCACTCGCCTGCGCGTTGCAGACCCACTGTGGATTCAGACCTGCGAGCAACCTGTGCCAGCCGGGCCTCGGCAGGCCCTCCTAGAGCTTGCGCATGGCCCACTCCCGGCCCGGCCGCTGCCCCCGGCCGCCGCCCCGCCCCGCCCCCCGCCGCCCGCCGCCGGAGTTCTGCCTCACCTCACCTACCCTCTTTCGGGGGGCAGACTCCACCTCTCTCTCCGCCATGTTGGGCCCCGCTCTGAACCTCTGCGGCTCCCGGCGCGGTGGCGGCGGCACCTCTCAGGCCCCCGGCCCCCGCCCACACTGCAGGCACTGCCGCCTCGAAGCAGCGTCCCCAGACCTGGCCGGGCCTGGCGCGGAGAGTGGGGAGGGGGCGGATACCGCGCGCCCGGCCGGAGATCCCGAGCTCCCCAGGGTGCGCGCGCGGGCTGGAGGGCCTGCCCTGGGAAGGGGGGCCGGGACTCGGGGGGTTAATGGCCTCCAAGGGGCCTGGTGAGTAGGATTATTTTCTCTCAGAGAAATTCCTCCGCCTGCGGGTTCTTAAAGGATCACTAAACCAGCCCCTTGCGCGCGCCCCGGGTGCGCAGGCGCACCTTAAGCCCCGCCTTCCTTTCCCACCAACCCTCCAGTCCTGAGCGTGCGCGGTGAGTGGCCCAGGGTAGGCCAAATCCTGCAAGTTTCTTTTCTGCCAGCAGCTGCTCCCACCACTCAACTATGGCCGCTGCTTTAAAGGGGCCATGACTTAGTAATGGAAGAGGGTTGAAAGAAATTAGTGGTAGACAATCTGGATAATTGGTTAAAATTTCAATGAGAGGTACACATCACTGCCTTACACCTGACTACTGAGATGCTACTGGAAAGGGAATACAACAATGAGCTAAATTTCTCAATGGACCCTTGAGCATGAAGAAAACCAATGAAGGACTCAATTAGTAATCTCAAGAAGACCCGACTTTTCCGGCCTCAGACAACTTGATTTGAAGCACTATTGACTTATTAAAGACCAGTCTCCTTTGATGGTCTTGAAGACTGAACCAAGAACTGGAGATCATTTCCTCAACTGTAATTTGTCCTTAGAATCTCAAAACTGGGAAGCATCTTAGAAGCCATCTGTTTCATTGCTTCCAATAGCAACAACCTAGTCACAAAAGTCATTTGCCCATGGCAGCTAGTTGGCTTGGAATTAGACTGTGGATTTAACCCACAGTTCTCTTGGATTTTCAACACACCAAAGCTGACTTACAGATCAATTTATTTTTATCCACTATCTGTAGAAGATTAAAAATGAAAGTTCCATGCTATTTCGAGAATATTGTAATTCTGCTTTGAAGATAGATACAGATATTTGCTGATGTTATGTGCTCTCCATTGAAGGAACTTGAAATTTCAAGATAAAGCATGAGCACTATATTTCCCAAACTGGAAACCTCAAAGTCGATTTGGGTCTACCTTTCCCTAAAAGCTAAACTGAAGGTGGTTGAGAAACATGAAGGCATGATTCATTCCTCTTCCATTCATTTTCATCCCTGAAGCCTGAGCTGGAAAAAATTGCCATATGGAATACAAAATAATAGCTTAGGGGCAATAGGAAGACATAGGGGGTAAGTCAAAAGAGTGTTGCTTTTAGAGTTCCAGTTGGGGTGGGGGTGGGGGGAAGCCACTGCTATCAAGTGAATTCTGACTCATAGCAACCCTGTATAGGGCTTCCAATGCTACATATCTTGAAGGGAGCAATCAGCCTATCTTTCTCCCAAAGAGCAGCTAGTGGGTTTGAACTGCCAACTTTGCAGTTAATAGTTCAACACTTATGTGACCGTGTGTTTCTGTGATCATTGGATGGCAGCAGACAAATTGTCTCAGTAATACATTGAAAATAAAGGCCCAATCAAGAGTGGCTCCCAAGGGGATCCGTTACATTCAAAGTAGAGAGATCAACGCAGAAATTTAAATGACTATTTTTGGTGATTCCAAAGAAGTCACCTTAACATTCTCTTAGGACACATGAGGATCATGGAGGCTTAATAGGAAGTAGATTTAAAACGCATTAGTAAGAGAAAGATGAAGAATGTTACACTGAGGAAATTTGTTCCATCATGGCAGTATACCTGCTCTTCCAGGGTAGCAAGGGCTGTCCTATAAGAATTTTGTAAGGAAAACTTACCTCATCCATGTTACAGCCCTAATCTTGCCACTGTAGACTTATTTTTGTTCCCCAAACTCAAAGAACGTTGAAAAGGAACACAAGTTCAGCCAATAGGTCGTCTTATTGGAGAGTAAATTGAACAACACAGAATTTGTCTAAGAGGGGTTAAAGAAATGGAAACAACACCTTCAAAAAGTGTATATACCTAGATGGGGAATATGTCCAGAAAAAATAACTACTTCACATTTTGATATTTTTGTTTAATAAAGTGTCTTTATTTTGTAGCAATATATATTGCTGGTGGTTTCTCAACCACCTTCAGTTTTTGACTTTCCCTCTTATAAGTGAGAAACACAAAGAGCAACATCCTAAAGGTCATTCCCCGTGACAAGAAATGTTCAAATGAGAAAGAACAACTTCTTAGGTCACAAGACAATAAGGTAAAACTTCTTTGTGTCACTTTAACTTATACTAGGGGGTATCCCCCCAAAAAAACAAACAAATCTGATGCTCAATTGTTTTTGTCATGTGAAGGGATAGTGCATTTGGAGTTTGTTCTATCGGGTCAGACTGTTAATCAAGCATTCTAGTTAGAGATTCTAAACAGAATGTGTAATGGTGTACAATGGTGATTTGTGGCAGATGGAGGACTGGTTTTGTACCACGATGATGCACCTGCTCACACAGCCATTTCAGTACACCAGTTTTTGGCAAAAAACTGCATGCCTCTCTTGCCCCACATATCTGACTCACCTAACCTTGCTCCTTTTTGTTTCTGCGAATGAAGAGGGACATGAAAGGACAGTGATATGACGATATACAAAAGGTGAAAGGAAAAAACAGGGAGGTGCTGTCAGTCATTGTGGCAGTTACATCATCTGTCAACTTGCAAAGAGGTGGAGTCTAGCCTGTCAATCAGGTAGCAGTTTGATGACTTCACTTGGAGGTATAAAAGAAATAAATAGGTCACTGGAGGCCAGACACATTCTCTCTCCTACACATTCCTGTTGACAAGCCACATGGAGCTATGCTGGCGGCAGCCAGAGCCTTGAAGCTGGAGGAGCCACGTGGAGACCCATGCCAGTGCTAGGATACTTCCACTGCCACTAGATCCACAAGATTTTTCACCCACTGGCCTGTGATCTTCCTGCACTCAGCGTCACTGCATGTGTTGCGTGAATCTGAAGAGGAATTTATAGACATATGGGCTAATATCAGACTTATGGACTTGATCTGAACTGGGCTGCGATGTTTCTTAATATACAATTACTCTTTAATATAAAGCTCTCTCTTACATATATATGAGTGTCCTGAATTTGTTTCTCTAGTCAACCCAGACTAACACAGCCATCCAATAAGATGAGTTTAAAAAAATGTTTTCAAGAATGGAATTGCAAATTTGACAAATGTGTTAAGTGTAACGGAGAGCACTTAAGAGTGATGAGATTGTTTTGTTTAAAAAAAAAAAATCTTAAATACATAGCTTTAGGTGGGGGGGAAATCCCTGGTTTCCGGGGGGATACCCCCTTGTATCAGGGGGGTGATGTATAGTTTATGGACTCTAGGTAGGATCTCCTCTTCTTTGTTTGGGAGGCTGGATTAGAAGTTTATCCAACTTGAGAGCAGAAGCCTGCCTGCATCTTGGTATTTTTGCTTACAGTAGTGGGCTCATACAGTATTTGCTTGTTTTGTGATTGACTAACTTCACTCAGCATAATGGTTTTCAGGTCCTTCCGTGTCATGAGGTGCTTCATGCTTTTGTCACTGTTTTTTAAGGATGCATAGTATTCCAAAAGAGTCAAATATGAGGGAGAGGGAGGGGGGAGGGCAAAATGAGCAACTGATATTAAGGGCTAAAGTAGAAGGCAAATGTTTTGAGAATGATGAGGGCAACAAATGTGCATATGTACTTGGCACAATGGATGGATGTATGGACCGTGATAAGACTTGTAGGAGCCCCCAATAAAATATTTTTTTTAAATAGTCAAATACAAGAAAACATGAAGCCAAATAGCTGAACAGAAGTTTTCAAAGGGCAGTTTGAGAAGACAACGCCAAATATTATAACAAAATGTAAAAGGACCTAGAAGTATAAAACTAAAAGGGAAGAACACATTTAGCATAACTAAAAGTGAAAAACTAAAGAAAAATTAAAGCCTTAGATTGCAATTTTGGAAGATCCTATAGGCAAAATATTGGCTGATTCAGGAAGTATCAAGAAAAGATAGAAAGAATACACAGTGGTTGTTCCAAAAAGAACTAGTCGACAGTCCATCATTTCAAGAGGTAGCATACGAGCAAGAACCAGGGTGCTGAAGGAGGAAGTTCAAAGTGCACTGAATGCATTAGCCAAAAACAAGATTCCAAGAATTGACAGAATACCAAATGAAATGTTTCAGAAAGCTGAAGAAGCATTGGAAGCATTCACTCATCTATGCCAGGAAATTTGGAAGACAGCTACCGGTCAACTGACTGGAAGAGATCCATATTTGTGCCCATTCCAAAGTAAGGTGACCAACAGAATGCTCAAATGTAGAATAATATCATTGATAATGCACACAAGTAAATTTTTGCTTAAGATCACTCAACAGTGGTTGCAGCAGTACATTGACAAGGAACTATCAGAAATCCAAGCTTGATTCAGAAGAGGACATAGAACAATGGCTACCATTGTTGATGTCAGATGGATCTAGGCTTAAAGCATAGAATACCAAAAATATGTTTACTTGTGTTTGATTGACTATACAAAGGCATTCAACTTTGTGGACCATAATAAACTGTGGATAACATTGAGAAGAATGGGGATTCCAGAACACTTCATTGTGCTCATAAGGAACTTGTAAATGGATCAAGAGGATCAATGAATCTTATGAACAGAACAAGGAAATACTGCATGGTTTACAATCAGAAAAGGTGTGTGACAGGGTTTTATCCTCTCACTATACTTGTTCAATCTATATGTTGAGCAAATCATCAGACATGCTAGATTACATGAAGAACAGTGTAGCATCAGGATTAGGGCAAGGCTTATTAACAACCCGTAGTATCCAGATGACCCAACCTTGATTGCTGAGAGTGAGGAGGAATTGAAGCACTTGATAATGAAGATAAAGGATTGCAGCCTTTGGTACGGATTACAACTCAACGTAAGGAAGACCAAATTCCTCAGAACTGGACCAATAAGTAGCATCATGATAATGATAAGTGAAGAAAAGCTTGAAGTTGTTAAGAATTTTATCTTATTTGGATCCACAATCAATGCTCATGGATGCATAGTCAAGAGATCAAAAAAGAGAGAGAAAAAGAGAGATCAAAAGACCTTGCATGAGGTAAATCTGCTGCAC